GAAAAAACAAGGCTGTTCACTGGCACCACACCCCACCAGCACTACACTGGGTCTTTTAGCCAGTGTGTCCATGCAATGAAAGAAACAAAATGCATACAGCCAGGCAAGGAAAAAGAGAAACTCTATTCACAGATTACATGACCATCTGTAGATAAATCTGATGGAATCTACTCCCAGAGCCACAAGAACTAATAAAAGGTTTAGCAAGGTTACCAGAGGCAAGATCAATATGCAGACATTCCTTATTTAACAACCGAGTTCCATTCCCATGACTGTCATCAAATGAATTGATTGCTAATGAAGCATTGTATACAGTATGTACATTACAATATTCAGAACAAAGAAATGGTCAAAGGAAACTCTACCTTGGTGACTTTGCTTTTATTTGCATAACTCTCACATGCAGTACTATAATGTATAACAGAACATAAACCTGTAGTACTGTACTGTACAGTACAATAAAAAAATTACAATACTGCATAACAAATAAGGTGTACTACACAAAAAATATATTAACACTCAACAAACAAGATGTAAGAACAGTACAAAAATAAGACGGGTCATAAGTCTAAGCAGTGAACAGTAAGTCTGAACAGAGTGCCTCAGTCACAAGTGTAAACAGTCATTAAACAGGTGGGTCATTAAATGAGGAATGTTTGTACAACATTCAGTTGTATCTCCACACACCAGCAAAGATTAGAAAATGAAAATATTTAAATACAATACAAAAATATGAAACACTTAGAGATGAATTGGACAAGAGATATCTTTAAAAACCTGTCTACCAGAAAACAAAAGGCATTGCTAAAAACTTATGAAGCAAAGAAGACTTAAACCCTAAATAAATGCAGAAAATATATTTTGTCCATGGATCAGAAGACTTAATATTGTTAAAAACTTTAATGTAGAATCAATAAAAGTCTCAGGAGGTTTGACATTGAGAAAGTTGACTGCTGTTTCTAAAATTCACACGGAAATGTAAAAGGCCTAGTATAGTCAAAATAACTATAAAAGCAAAGCACAGTCAGAGAATTAATATTGACCTGCTTTTAAGTCTTATTTTAAAGCAAAGAAACCAAGATAGTGCAGTATTAATGCAAAGAAAGACAAGTATATCTGTGAGACAGAAAAGAGCCCAGAAATAACCTTAGATGTGTTCAAATAACCAAGTTTTGACAAAAGTACAGAGGCAGTTCAGTGTGATAAATGTAACTTTTGACCACCAATGATGGTGGAACATTGAATATTCACTTACCAGTGAACTTCTGTGTGTACTTTCTACCATATACCAAAAAGGGTTCAAAATGGATCATAGACCTACATGTAAAACCTGAAACTACTAAAGTCAATAGGATGCAGCTCGAGTGATGGGTTTTGTGGGGATTTCATCAGACACAAAGTTCAATCCATAAAAGAATGGATACATTGGATACCATCAAAATTTTAGGCTTTTCTCTTCAAAATATGCTAGGGCAGTGAAATGTGAAGCCAACGAAGATGGCAGATAAGAACATGGAAAGATGTTCCCATCATTAGCCATTTAGGGAAATGCAAACTCAGACCATCATGAGGTGCCACTGAATATCTATTAGAGGGGCTGGAATGAACAGGCTGCCCCCCCATGCCAAGTGCTGCCCTGTAGATGAGGGCATGAAACTCACTCTATTTGTGGGAATGCACAGTGGCGTGATCACTTTGGAAAAGATTGGACAGTTTCTCCCAAGGTAAATATACACCTGTCACAGGATCCAGCCAGTCCACAGAAAGGCATTTACCCAAGAGCAAAGGAAGCAATTGACCCTGCAGAGAGCACCATAAGTGGCCATCGCAGCCACATTTAGAGTGGCAACCCATGTGCCTATATGTAGGTGCGTTGGAAGAAAACTGATGCCTCTCCTCCTGGGGATACCACTCAGCAAGAGAGATGTGACCTTCACACACATGCTGAAATATGCATGAATCTGGAAATAATTGTGCTGGAGCAAGAAGATAGCCCAAAGATGAGTAGTGTACATACTGTTGACTCCATTGATTTAGGCTGGTGGAAAATACACACTTATCTCCAGCAACACAGAAGGCTGGGATGGTAGGGCTACAGTGATAGAGCAGAAAATTTGAAGGAAGGCTCATTCTCCTGATTGTAGCTGTATGGGTGTGGACAAATGTTAGTGCTTGTCAAGATGCTCTTTGCATAGTGTGGTGTGTGCAGGGTGAGTGCGCCACGACAAAGCCATCCTAAAGGGGATATGCTCTGTAAACACTGCCAGAACTCCACACTTTGCAGGCCATAGCTTTGCTATTCTCACATCAGGGGAACAGGCCAGAGAGTGCTGCTGCAATAGGCAGATGTGCGTCCCTGCCTGGGGGTCAGACAGCCTATCCAGACTTGTGCTGGGGTGAAAGGGTGGCCCTGCTCTGTGAGCCCCTTGAGCTCCTGCAGACTAACCTGGGTGTGCGCTCAAGACAGTGTCTCTGGAGCCATTGAATGTCTGTGTTTGTGTCACATCTGATAGCACCCCAAGATCCAAAGCAAGTCACACTACTGAGCACAGATTTTGGGAGTGAGAAACAACTTTGCCCTGGTGCAAAGGATGTGGTCCATCCCCAAGCACTGGGGATGCTCCCATCCTTGGCCTCTCTCAGATTGTTGATCTGGACTGTCTGCCCAGGTTCAGACGGACACTTCCTATGCAGGCCTGTGCTTTCCCCACCCCTAGCACAGAGAGGACATCAGATTCTCTGGGGTTGCAGCCCCAGCAGCCCCCAGCTTTGGACTCTGACAATGAGAACGGTCATGGATGCCAGGGTCAGGAAGGCATTAAGGGTGATGCAAACTGCATACTCTTTCACAGATGCAGGCATCTACTGTCTAGACCAACTTGGAGCTCCCTAAGGGGCTCACAAGACCCCAGCAATACCATCTACATCCCTGTCCTTCCCTGACCACTGCTACCACCATCACTCACTTCCAGAATGGGGGTTCTCCCTGTCCTGTGCCCCTGTGAACCTGGGCAGGTGCTATACTCTGGGGTCCTGCTGAGCTTTTCATAAGTACAAGGGCTGCCTGTTCATGCCCAGGAGAAATGCAGATTGAATGAGAGGCACCTGGAGGCCTCTGCAGGTCTGGTGTGTGGTGGGACCAGGTGGAAAGTGGCACAGCCAGGGAGCTACCAGACCCAGACACCTCTGGCTCCCATGCCTGCCCACTGGAACAGCTTCCAGGCACCAATGCTGCACAACAGGAGAAGGGCTGGGCTCCAAGACCCTTCCTGTCACCTGACAGTCACCTGTCCCAGCCCACACAGCTCTGCCAGACTGTGGCTATGGAGGGAACCCTGCCCACCCATGGAAGGCACAAGCCCAACCCTGAGTCAGACACTCTTCCTGAGGCCCAGGCCCCATCCCTTCGTGGGGAGTCCTCCTTCTGCAGGTAGGGTGAGCCCTTCATACCAAAAATTAACAAGTGGCTTGGCCACATACCTGTGCAGTGCTCACCAAATTCTCAGCCTTTCTGTTCCTCAGGTACAATGGGAAAACTCAATCCTAAGACAGAGCAACTCAGCTATTAACTGAAAATGTGAGGTTGAAATGCAGCATCTGACTTGGACCTCCTTGACTGGTTGGCCAGTTTGCTGACAGTCTATGCCTCAGTTCCTCTGCTGTAAAATGGGGGTGACTGTTGGGACGATCAGTTGAGTTGGTAAATGGTAGGCTCTGCAACAGGGCAGGATGCATAGTGACTGCTGGATGAGTGTCTGTGACTGCATAGCACACACACACACACACACACACACACACCTGCTCATGCGACATATTCTTATACATGCATGTTCATTTGCACAATCACTTACTCGTTCATCCTGGTGGGTAGTAGGCCTGGGGCCCTGTATCCTGCTCTGTATCGTCTGCTCCCAGTACAGGTAATGTGTTGAAGGTGGTGAGCCTTACTGTGCCCTGTTGTGACATGGGAAGGCTGGGAGCAGGTGGGTGATTTGTGTGTGCATGCGTGTGACCTCTGAGGTGCTCATCAGCAAGTGTGACACCCTGGTGGACACTGTCATAGCCTTGCCTAGCACCAGCAGCCAGGCAGGAGATGGGGTGGAGAGCACACTCTGTCCTGTGGCACAGGAAGGGATGTGAACCTTCCATCCAACATTCAGGCAGCACCACCATCCCATCCCTGCCTGCATCAAGGAGCTTGGCTCCCCTCTCCCAGTGATCCCCCAGAAATGACTATGGGGAGTGGGCAGCTCCTCTCTGATATGCAGAGGTGGCACCTCAGCAGATGAAGGGCCAAGGAAGGGGAGCTCACAAGGTGTCCCTGTGAGCAGAAAGGAAGGCCCAGGACACAGGGAAGCAGCATGGAAGAGGAGAACACTGGATCCTTCGGTACGAGGCAGGCTGGACACATGTACAGCAGTGTCACCAGAGAGAAACACAACTGTGTCACAAGAGGCAGAGCTGGCTGTGCAGGAGCCCATCTGCTATTCCTGCAGCCTCCTGAACCCCAGCTGGACAAGTCAGAGCTATGCTGGCCTGTGAAGAGTGGCCAGAGCAGGAGTTAGGGCTCCCGAGCCCTGGCACTGGTCAGCACCAGGCCCAGCACCATGAGTGGGTGAATGCAGCTGACTGGTCCATGAGAGACAGAGAGGCTGTGCTAGCAGCCAGCACAGTGAGGGGCCAAGTCTGGCTTGACCACACACTGAAGCCCACCAAAGAGAACAAGACAGTGGGGTCTTGAAAGGACAACAGGTGCAGGGCAACAATTGCATATGAAGAACAGGGAGCCTCTGGGGTGTTCGCACCATCAAGATGCTCTGAGAAAATAGGAGGGGATGGCCCCTGGGGCTCTCCCATCCTTCCCAGCCCCAGATTCTAGTACCATGGAGAAGAAATGACCAACCTCAGCCCTGGGAGACAGCTCCCCGTGTCCAAGGGCATCCTCAGGGCAGTAACACAGTATGGGCACCCAGCAACTCTACCTCTCCTCTGCTCCTCAGTGTTGATTGGCGTGGGCACCGAGACCCTCCTCCAGGGGCAGTTCAAAAGCCTGGCCTTCTATCTGCTGTGAGTATGTACACCCAGTGCTTCCCGCTACAGGGCTGCCCACTCGCCCCACACCTGTCGACCTGCACTGACCCAGAGCTACTGACTCCCTCCCAGAGTGGGGGAAGTGCAGGAGGCTCCTGGTTTAGACGACCATCCCTTAAATCAACCAACGATCCCTCTATCCACTCACTCATCTACTGACACATCCACCCATCTATCTATTCATCCATTCACTCACTCACTCATTCACTCACTCATCCATCCATCCATTCTACCACTCATCCATCCACCCACTCTCATCCATCCATCCACTCATCCATCCATCTATCCATCAATCAACCACTCATTCACTCACCCATCCAACCACCCATCCACTCATCCATCCATCCATCCATCCACCCACCTAAGCATCCCTTTAATCATCTCTTTATTTAGCAAACATCTACAGAGCTCCTATCTGGAAGGTGGGGAATGGGGTCATAGGCTGTACATTTGGGCTCCCCAGCATGCCAAGTGTAGCTCAATGTCTTATTTACATCACCTTATTAAACTCTGATGGCCCCCAGTCCATGGGAGGCACACCGGCTTGGTTGTGCAGAGGAGGAAATTCAGAGGGAGCAGGAACCAGCCCACATCAGCAGGCTCTGAGTAGTAAGTAGGTCCAGGTTCTGCAGCCCCCTGTGCTTTCTCCTCTGCCGCAAGCTACTCTGACAGGAAGGAGACCACAGTGTAGCGATGCCTGATATCTGACCTGGGGTGCCCCTCCCAAAGTCCTCCTGGCCACCTCCTCCTGGTGGTAGAGGAAGCTACTCCTTCCAACCCACAGATGCCCATGGGCTCCAAGCTGAGAGCTGCAGTGGCCTGCCAGGTCCTAGTCTGTGCCTTTCACCCACCCCCACCCCATGTGGCTCCTGCATCATAGTAGCTGCCAAGGCCTGAGCAGCCTCACCCACTGCAGCACCTCTTCTGCCCTTGGGCCACGCTCTTCACCCCATCCACACAGCACCTCCACACATGAGTCTCTCTGAAGACCTCAATGGCCCCCTCCACCTCAGTTCGCAGCATATTTCACACCACTTAGTTATAGCCTTGAATATCCATACCACCCACTGCCAAGCCATGGGACGTGGGTGTCAGCCCACTGTGGAGTGCCCAGGCTGACTCCCCACCCCAAGTCCCCAGCTTCAGACTGAAGTCCCCTCTGCGTGAGGTGGCTTTTCTTGCTTTACTGCCATCCATACCTTCTGTCCTGGCCTCTGCACCAGGCTCTGTGGACCCTGGTATTAATGCAGATGTCACCCTCCTGGCCCTGCCTCTCCCTGCCTGCTCCATGCATCTCAAGGAGACAAAGGCCCCTGCTCCTGAGCCTGAACCTCCATGCCCTTCACTCCAACCCCATGGGCAACACCCTGCCAACACCAGACAGGAAATCTGCAGGAGCCTCTTGGTTCTGCAGCCTCAACTTCCCCTCCACCCCAGGAGGCAGAATCACACTCTGCAACTGCTTTGCAAAGCCCAGGCCTTAGTGTGCTTCTTAGTCACTTGCCTCTGGTGCCTGAGCACTGGGTTCAAGTCTTGCTCCTGCTCCTGACCAACCTCGTGGCCATAGCAGCAGGCTGGAGCTTTCTGCGTCTCAGTATCCTCATCTGAAGGTAAACTAGAGGTGGTTAGGTTGCTAGGACCAAGGGAGTTGATGTTTGTAAAGCTTTTATTGTGCTTGGCACATAACAATCACACCAGAAATGTTAGTTATCATCATTTTAAAACTAAAGTTTACGAGTTGGACAGACACTGGGGGCAGCACAGAGAGGGGAGAAGGTAGATATTAAACTCTCCTCAGTGAGAGAGGGGTGGGGAGCAGGAGTAACTGACATTTACATAGTGGTTATCACATGCCAGCACAGTCCCAGGAACCTTATAAACATCAACTCACAACTTACAGGGTTGAAGCACTGTGATTACCTCAGCTGATAGAGAGGAAAGCGAGTCACAGAAAGTTCAAGCCTTTTACCCATGTCACACAACTGATTGGAACCAGGCAACACCCGTGGCCTTAAGGGGACCCTGTCCCAGAGCTGTCCCCCCTGCAACGAGCATCTCGCCCACTCACTTATCCATTCATCCCATGGCACATTCATGGAGCACTTACCCAAAGGAGTGGGCATAGCCAGGGCACTCCCTGTAGTTCACAGATGGCCATGTGCTTTAGCACAGAGAAGCAAGACATCACCAGACAGATGAGGGAGGAAGAAGAGGCCTTTTGAGAAGGATGCCAAGGTCCTGAGGCACCTGATAGCTCCCTGTGCACTCAGGAAATATGGGAGTCAGTAAACAACTTGGAAGGATGATGAGAGATTTGGTTCTGTGGGCCAGCAAGTCTCTCCAAATCATTGAGCAACATTCTCCAAGGTACTGGTACATAAGGTCCAGGGAAGAGGTGCTTGAATCTGTGATTTAGCATGCATGCAGGAGGTCTGACTAAAGGGTCCCTGAACATGGGCACTCTGGATAGGGAGGTGTAAGAATAGACTCAGTGTCAGAAGGGGCCAGCATCCAGGTGTGACCATGGAGGAGCAGAGACAGGCCTGGGATGGGGAAGGCCAGGCCGGCTGGGTTCAGACAATGCCATGGGGCTAGAGAGGCTGGGGTGGCTCTGGAGGTTTGAAGGACACAGCCTATTCTCCCAGTGACTGGATGTGGGAGAGACAAAGGAGTTCAGGGTCCATGGGTCTACACCTTCCTGCCAGGTGACTATAGCAGAGATGCTGCTGCTGGTGACACTACCTCCTAGCAGGCCGTGGCACCAGGCAGCACGAGGGATGTGGTTTGGGTGGTGGAAGTTCTGCCAGAAGTCAAGGGACATGCAGGGGTCACAATCACCTGTCCCCACACAGGTTTATAGGTACTGCCGTGGCCATGTGTGAAGGGGCCTACTTTGTGGTGCAGCTGCTGGCCATCTGCTTTAAGTAAGTGTCCCCAGATGTGGCCCCACCAAAGTCCACCCAGACCCCAGATCTTCTGCCTCTGTGGCTAGCATGGATGAGAAGGGGCTGAGCTCCTCCCTTTCCCTACTCTCAGCCAAGGAACCAAAAGTCAGATCTGTCCAGGGCCAGCCACACCCCAGTCCCGGAACAGCCCAGGAACAGACCAGGGGCCCAGTGTCCAGCCATCCCTGGGTGAGGACCCAAGGAAGGGCAGCAGGGGAGCAGGGCTGGGTGCAAGTACCAGGACAGGTCGGGGGCTATGAGACTCTGCCAGGAGGCCCCACTGCCACCCTGCCAATTCCCAGGGGGGAAGAAACAGTCAGAAGCTGGACCCAGACCTCCAGGTCCCATGTGGCCATCAAGAAAGCCAGGCCTTAAGCCCTGCTGCTCCACCTACTGCCCAGAGCCATGTTCTGAGCGCAGCAGTAACCCCAGTGCCCTTCTGGCTGCACCCACTGATAGAATCTGGGGGAAGAACCATGGGTGTGGTGTGAAAGAGCATTTGACAGCTTTGTAACTGAACACACACACACACACACACACACACACACACACACACACACACTCTGCCAGCAGGGGGTAGCAGGGAGCCAAAGCACAGGACTGGATGATCCTGGCCCACACCACTTCCCCAAAGCCAGCCTGGGCCTGGAGCTGCTGGCCACCAAACCCATCCATGGTCTTGTATGCCTGTGAGGAAGGAACCCCTTTCCTGCATCCAAGTGAGCAAGGCACAACTCACCAACCAGGCCCTGAGGGCCAGGCAGCCCTCATGCACACACCTCCCCTCTGCTTCAGACTTCCCATGGGACCCTGTGCCTCCCATTCACTTTCCTCTGCCCTTGGCCACAAAGACAGAGCAGGCAGCCTTTCTGGAGGGGTTTGGCTAGCCCCACTGCGGGACCACAGGGAGGACCCTAGGCATCTGTGACGCCAGCCGATGAGGTGTTCAGACAGGCCACTGCAGCAATCTGGCCACAGTGTGCCTACCAGGCTCTCCAGGCCTTGCTAACCCTGCCTCCCTCCCAGGTGCCAGCAGGGGTCCCTGGCCCACTCTGCCAGGGAGAAGGCCCTCTGGCTGGGCTGCTTCCAGAAGTTCCTGGCCTACATGCTGCTGTCAGTGGCCTGCTTCCTCCACCCTGTGCTGGTGTGGCATGTGACCATCCCAGGTAGGAAAGCAGGAAGGGCAGGAAGGGGGCCTACTCAGCCTGGGCCTGCTTATACCTGACAGTTGGGAGGTTGTGGGAGAGCCTGACTCCTTGGGGGAGCTCGGGCTCTATGATGTCTCACCCTGCCCCTGGTGTCACCAGGCTCCATGCTCATTGTCACCGGCCTTGCCTACTTCCTGCTGAGCAAGCGCAAGAAGACCAAGGCCAGGGCTTCTGGGCCAGCTGCCCCTGAGCAGTACACAGACCCCTCGGGCAGTGCTGTGAGTACCACAGGCTCCGGGGACATGGAGAAGACCTACACCTTCCATGGGGCCCTCACGGGGACGTCTGGCTCCCTCTTCACCCACATGAAGAGCCTCCTGTGGGGAACCCGGGGAACTGGCAGCCTGCTGCACCCTGACACCATGACCGAGCTGCCGCTGCAGGCTGCAGATGGCCTGGCCAAGAAGAAGCAGGTGCACTTCCAGGACGACGCAGTCAGGATCATCCCATCCCTCGCCGAGGCCCTGGATGATGGGGACAGTGAGCCAGAGACCACCTCCGACACTGCACCCATCATCCCAGTCTCCCAGGCCCCGCGCCTGCTGTCCTCACTCGAGGCTCCCAACCTGTACTGAGCAGCACGGTGAGGGAAACTCACAGTCCATGGCCAGTGCTTCCTGTCATGCACAGAGGACGGAGTCTTCATGGTCAGGTCTTCCAGGGTGACCAGACACCCCGTGGTGGCCAGACCTTGGAGCCATTGGGGCCATTGGGGGTGTGGTGGCCAGGAAGTCACCAGTTAGCACAGGGTCCTCCTTCTCCACCATGGATGGGAAAATCCTTGCTGTGTCCACACTGGCTGCAGGGTCACTGTGTCTGCTCCAATGAGACAGGGGATGTTGTCCTGACAGACTCCACCAGGCTACCCCTGCTCCCAACCTGGAGCCTCTGCTGTGACCCCAGCTCTGAAAGCTGAAAGGGACAAAGTGGCCTCCAGAACAGATGTGGGGGTCAAAGGCAGGTGTAGGTGTAGAAGGCAGCCATGGGTCCCAACCAAGATGGTTTCAGTGGGGACAGAAGCTACAGACTCCAGGGCCAGAGCAGCTGCCAGGAGCCTCATTTTGAATCACAGAGCCACCAGGGGCCACTGCCACCCTGGACATTGCTCACTCAAGAAGCACGGCTAAAGTCTTCCCAGCTCTGGACCTCCCAAGAGCCCAAGTGGATGAGAGTCCGTCATGGCCTGCAGGGCTGCTGTGTGCCTGCAGGACCTGGGGTGGAGCCCAGGCAGCCACAGCAGAAGTAGCCTTTCCATGTGGGTGCCAAGAGGTGGACAGGTGTATACACAGGGCTGTTCTCAGTGAGAGGGAAGAAGGCAGAGAGGGAAGAAGAGGACAGGATGGTGGTGGGTGGGCCAGGTCTGTGCTTTGGGCTGGGGAGGGGAAGCGAAGCTGAAGGAAGAAAGGAGTCAGAACCAGATATTTCTTAGTAAAGGACTTGCAGTGTCCACTTCTGAGAGATGCATTTGTCCTTGAGGCCCCTGCAGGAAAAGCAGCCTGCTCCTCTCGGGCAGCCAGAAGTGGCTGTGGGAAGGGCTTGGCGAGCCTCGGATCACCGGCTTCGAAGTCTGCAGGCTCTCTTCAGGCCCTGTCTGTGCCATAGGCTTTTCAGTGCCCCTACGTGTTGCCTTTCTTGTAAAGATATAAAAATGAGGCCCCATGGAAGCTGACAGTGTCCATCACTTGGGTCCCCCTGCAGTCACCCACCTTCCTCTCACATCCAAGGGCCAGGGGCTGATGGATGCATCCCCAGCAGCCCTTGGTGGGAGGACAGCAGGGTCTGATGGTGTGCAGTTGCAGTCGGGAGAACAGATGGTATAGGAAATGGGTCAGGCAGGCGGGGTCTCGCCCATCACACATGGATCCCTCGCATCTGAACACCATCACCACACCCCTGTGACACAGGAGTGGTAGGCCCTTGAGTGACATGGCAGCCCCATCTCTGGGTGACTAAGAACAAATCTGAAGGTGTGAGCTCAGAGATGTGTCATAAACATGTCAGAGGGAGGCTTGCATTGGCAGCTCCAGGTGACATCTAGGTTTCATGGGAACTGTCACCGGTTAATGGGAGTCTGCTCTGGGTGCAGCATTAGATAGCAATGGTGATGGCAGCTAGGTTAGCAAAGTGAAGCTCTCAGTCTTCTCTCAAAAAAGAAAAAAATCATAAACAGACCAGGATCCTCACTGGGTCACTGGGCCAGATGAGAAATAACCTCTCTTCATGAACAGGGGAGCACACCCAGCTCCACCGGGCCCTTGTCTAAGCACTCACATCCAAGCCTCATCCCCTGGTCTCCGCACAGCAGTTGTGGAAATTACCTCAGCCCTGCAGAGAAACAGTGACCCTACAGTGACTATAGTCCTCTCTCAGCACAAACCAGAGCTGAGGCTTTGTGGAGTGGGACAGAGTGGCTGGCAGGACAAAGCATACTGGGCTGGGCCACTTATCTGCCACTGGCATAGCCCCATCTGCCACTAACACATGTTCCTGGCCTTTTTCAGTTGCTGCTGTTTACACAGGAGAACCTGGACCTGGGGTGTTAGGGCTGGGCAAGGGCTATAAATCTACAGATCCTGGTCACAGGGAGGGCACTACATCCAGGGCATCATCCTGGGGAGGGTCCTGTTGCCAGCCCAGTGATACAGAGCCACGGGGAACCCAAATCCTGAGGATCCAGGCCCTGGAGTCCTCTTAGCCTGACCTTATTTTTGTGTTTATTGTTTGGTTGGTTGGTTTAAATTTTCTTAAGCGTCTTTATTGAAATACAATTCAAATATATCATAAAATCCACCTGTTTAAAGGATATAGTTAAATGATTTTTAATATATTTATAATCTAAGTTCACCACAATCATTATCATTAAAATTCAGATTTTCATCTCCAGAAAAAGAAACCCATGGCAGTACCTATTAACTGTTCCTCACTGTTTGTCTCCTGCCCTATGCGGCCACTGATATCTATTTTTTATAAATAATGCCTTTTCTGGGCATTTGCTATAAATGGAACCATGCAATAACATGTAATATGATCCTTTTTTTAGTAACATCTGTCTCTTTATTGTTATTCTCTATTAGTAAGTTGTTCTCATGCTTTAATTCCTTTAGTTGTGTGGACACATTCACAACAGTCACCTGGAGTTGTTGACCTACACCTGGGCCCCCTCAGAAGCTGGGTTTCTTGGCTGTTTTTCCACTGAATGTCATGATTTGTTTCTTTTCATATCTCAAAAATTTGTTCTTAACAACAGACCTGGATATTTGGGATAAATATGTGGTGACTCTGGATACTGGTTCTTCATTTGTGTGTTTACTGATATAGTTTGATGAATTCTGTGAAATCAACTTATTTTTCCAGAATATTCCGCCTTTTTCCTTGTTTCATCTTTTAGCATAGTTGTCTAGAGATTTCCCCTGGGTCTGCCATTTATTGGTCAGAAGTTTTCATTGCCCTTGGAATTGAGACCTATTAGATACTTAGCTTGGGCTCTTCTATCACAGATCAAGGTGTCCACACTTGTCCCTACATTCAGCCAGGGACTCATAGCTTGGATGTCCTTTCTCTGACCACAACTGAGAGGCATAACATTTAATGCTATTTGCCCAGTGCCAGGAGTGTGTGGGATTTTATTTTTAAATTTCTAGGAGTTGCTCTTGCCCAGAGTTTGGTCTGAGGCTGTGCTTAAGGCCCCTGTGTCAGAGAGCCCAGACTCTGTGTGATTGGCTCTGTGTGCAGATAGGACTCACTTTAAACACTTTCTCATCACTGGGACTCAATACTTAAAAACCACAACTTGACAAAGGCATTTATTTTTGGCTCACATTTTCAGTCTGTGGTGGTTGGCTCCAGGGCAGGGCACAGGGAGAGCGATAAACTTGTCCAGTGACCCATGTCTTCCAACCAGGCCCCACCTCCTAATAGCTACAAGCCCAGTCACCTTCTAAGGTCCACCTATAAACACAGGAGGCCTCAGGACATCTCAGTGTCAACCACAGCAATGAACCTTCTTGCAAAGCAAAGGTGTCCTCTAGGGAAGCAGGTGCTGTACCCTCTCTGTTACCCAGACCCTTGCCCAGGAGAGGGAAACCAAGAAGGATGAGGACTATTCAGCCTGGAGAACAGCTTTGTCCACAGTAGGGTGTGGGGGAGTCCAAGTATGGAGATCATGGGGTGATGGATAGGTGCTCATAACACTTCAATTCTGGAGCAATAAGCACAGAGGAAAAATGATGACAAGTTGCAAGCCAGGCCAGGAGGTTGTGGGGAGGGGCTTTGCTGCCAACAGGGTAGGCTGTGGGCAGTCTTGAGAACTGTCACTGTTACGGTGGCTGAGATTTAGTAACTGCTCTTCAGTGAGAGCTCCTCCACTTGCCATGTGCCCTTAGAACAAGCTCCAGAGATTGAAATGACTGACATGTGTAAATGTCTTGGTCATTTTCTTTGGCACTGGGACAGAATATCTGACACCCACAATTTAAAGGAGAGATTTATTGTGGCTCATGTTTTAAAAGTTTCAATCCTGCCAGGCATGGTGGCGCACACCTGTAATCCCAGCACTCTGGAGGCTGAGGCAAGAGGATCGCTATGAATTTGAGACCAGCCTAGGCTACATAGTGAGTTCCAGGTCAGTCTCAACTACATAGTGAGACCCTATCTCAAAAGAAAAATTAATTAATTAATTAATTAAAGTTTCAATCCTTTCATGGTCAGCTCTGAGGCAAAATGGCATGGTGGAAGGGCCTCAGGAGTGCAGCTGCTCACTCCATGGTAGTTAGGAAGCAGCGAGAGAAGGGAGGAACCAGGAAGGGTAATAAATCCTTCCAAGCTGCACCCCAACATCTTTTTCTTCTCTTGTCAAGCACCACCTCCTATCCCCAAGCCAGCTGTAGGTCCCCACAATCCAACCAACTTCTACAAGCCCAGCGTCTTGAGTGCGTAAGGCTTTGGGGGCCATTCAGATCTAAAACATAACAAAAATTCCCCAAGTCATTATTTTGTTAGGGAGAGGGTTCTCAGCTACTCTGAGTCCAGAAGTGCTGCCTGCTCTTGACTTGTTTGTTTTTGCCATAACCATGACAAAATGGAGCACATGGATGAGAACTTGGACCATCAAGAGCCAAGACACAGGCTAGATCCCTGTGTCTGCTCTTTACTGGCCACAGAGACAGACCTCAGGAGCTCCTCTGAGCCCCCATTTCCTGAGGGTAAAGGGGATAAGGGCAGTACCTCTCCTAACAAAGCTGAGGACCAAGAGATGAATGAGTGATATTCTCCCAGCTACTGTCCTCCATGCCTCTTCTTGGGCATGGCCCTCATCTCCCAGGCTGTGGCTCCCTGGTTAGTTCTGCTGATGCGCACTTTCCCCAGGGCCCTCCCTTCCCTTAGCTCAGCCTGGAGCCCATATCTTATCGCCATGTTTGTCTGAGAAATTGCTGTGGCCTCTTCTCCTGGGGTTGACATCATCCCTTTCCTGGCTGATCTCTCCAAGGACACACCTTTTGTCCCTGGGGAAACCTCTGGCCCAGCCCCTCTGTGCACAAAGTGTCAAGCTCTCTTTCTCTGTAAAAGCTGGCCAGTCATTCAGCTGCCAAAGTCCTGGGCCTGGCCACTGGCCTGCTGGGGGACAGTGTTCTCACACGACAAAGAGGGACTATCCCTGTTGACTGGAACTGAGCTCTCTCCCATGGGGACCACCAAGTAGCCAAATGTCTTCTCATTGTCTGGAGAAGAGGCAAGAACTAATATAGGAGGTAGGGTGTGGCAAAGCTGTCTGGGGAAATAGGTGGGACCTGTCAATCACAAGACCCAGGGTAATGTGAGGAACCTAAATGTAGAACTTCTCACAAGCTTCCATGAGATGTGGATGGCATTAAAAATGAGGCCATTACGGAAAGCCACTATAGTGCATGAGATTGCACAGTAGCTCATGCAGCATCTGAACACTGCATGTATATTTATTTTTTACTTTTACCCTCTTTTTCTCTTTGTTCAGCCCAAATTCACTCTGGAGAGCTGGTTTCTCCCATACCTGTTTACTCCACACTTTTCAAATAAACTTTTGGCACTATTATTGGCTTGTTTCATCCAATTCTTTAAGGCAAGAAGGACTTGGAATACTTTAGTTGGCAGGCCATTTCTAAAGAAACCACCCTAGAACAAACCTACTCCTGACCTTCACAGAGAAAGAGACATTTTCAGAAGCCAAGTTTTAGGTCAGTAGAGTATTCCCCTGAGCATCACACCATGACAAGGGACAGACAGCTACATGGAGAGGAGACAGCTGCCCTGGCAGGCAGACCAGAAGGTGACCCACCCACTGGCCCTGCTCAGGTAACCTGAGGACACAGTATCCCCTAAGGGTACTGCCAGCCTCAAGGTGACCACCCACAGAGCAGGCCAGGGGACACCTCAAGTCTCTACAGCATGTGCTTGGCGAGGATGGGTTGCCTGAGCTCCCAGGAGAGTTCTCAGGGCAGGTGGCACTGCAGAGCTGGAATACCCTACGGAGGGTTCAGGAGCTGCCCCAGGACATTCTTAGCTGTTGTTCCTGGCAGCCTTCCTGCACCATTCTCTGGTCAGATCGCTTCTGATACAGGAAGCAGCAAGTGCCCTCCTTTGATGACTCATCTGTCCCTAGATAGTTACTTGTGTCTGAGTCTGCACAGGGCCCAGGGTGTGGGTGTCGCCAGCCCACAGACCCTTCAGTCTGTAGCTTCCTGGAAACTGGGTAAGATATTTGCAGGCTCCAGGCTTGGTTCCTCTTTCCAGAGTGAGGCATATTCCTCTCTTTTAAATCAGCCATGTGGACCAGGAGCCAAGCGAGGTGCTGGACTGAAGGGGTACTACAGGGACTGTCAGTGCAGCTGACTGAGGCAGATGTGGTGCTGCAACGAAGCTATGGCAGGGTGCCGGAGCAGTCGACTCAGGCAGCTGGACCCCAAAGGGTGCAGAACGGAGCTTTTCAGGGCAGGACTCTTGTCACACTCATCACTGTGTCTCTGGGGATGAGGGTGACAGCCTAGCTCACTGGAGTTTGAGAGGAGACACACTTTCCACTCAAAACAAAGGAGGCTTTGTGCAGCAGAAAGAGCACAAGGCAAACAACAGTGACTATGACAGGGGACAGACTAGGCCATGTGTATGGCCTTGTTCATCCCTTGCTGCCAGAGAGGCAATGGGAAGCCACAACGGCAGGACCTAAGGCCCTATCCCACTTTGGGCTGCTGAAACAGACTCTGCAGGCTGTGTGGCTTAAGCAACACACATTTACATTTTTATTTGTGAGCCTGGAAGTCCAAGGTCAGGGCACCACCCTGGCCTCTGGTGAGGAATGGCTTCCTGGTTCATCACAGTGCCTGTGTGTGGCTCACACAGTGGAAAGTGATTGGCTCTTTATGTCTTCTCTTATAGAAGTACTGTATTAGTTTGCTTTCTTGTTACTGGAACAGAATACCAGACCCACAGTTTAAATGGGGAGAAGTATAACCTGTCTCATGGTTTCAGGGGATTCAGTTCATGGTTGCTTGCAGCAAGGTAGGAACATCATGATGGAAGGATATGGGAACAAAGATACCTTGGTAGCTGGGAAGCAGAACAGAAGAACAGTGTCAGAAAGGAAGGGGCCACAGACCAGATATAGACCCCAAGGCCATGCCTCCATGACCCACCCAGAAACCCCCAGGAATATGCTCCATCAACCCCCAGGCAACTCTCAAGCCAGTCAAGTTGATTCAGTCAAGCCCATCACCTCGAGGCCCTGATCCCAACCACATGGCCTCCATGCAGGTGGCCCCATCACCCTCAAAGACCCTGCCCCCTCACACTGTCCCTGAGACTGGGGCTGCAACATGTGAATTTGGGGGGACACATCAGTTCCTATAAGGTCATTACTTGCAAAACAAGTCTCCTGGGACTCTGATTCTTCCCAAGAGGTGGAGAAGAGGGGGTTGTTGGTGGCTCGTAAGAAGGGAAAAAGAAAGGAAGAGAGACAAGAGATCTGGCTCAGGTGGATGCAGAATTTAGAGCCTCTTCATGGGCTGGGATGGCTGTTACTCATTTTGCCAGGGCACTTTGTATGCTTGTGCCCTTCTGACTCCAGAGAGCCCACACCTCCACCTGGCATAGGCACACAGAGCCAGCTGCCCTCCCCCCAGATGGAACCAAAGAGCTGGGAGCCGAGCTCAGTCTTCCTGCCAGGCCCTGTGTACCCTCGAAGTCCAAGACAAGAATCCCAGCACCCACAGGATCCACCCAATGCATGTAAAGTGGATGACTGACTGAACTCTGG